TTGGGGATGGCGCCTCGCCGGCCACCCACCCGGACGGGTGCGGGAACCGGGTCTGGGGCGGGGGGCCGAAGTCTGACAACTTCAAACGTCTCCCCTGGACGGGTGCTTTGACCCCTCGGAGCGCGGCAGTGCGCCTCCATCTCTCTACCTCCTGCTTCGGGTGGATGCTTGGGGTCCCCTTTCCTCTGTGTTCGGCCTCGAAGCACAAATGACGTGAGGGACAGGGGGCCTAATGCCAGATACTCATTTCCTTACTTTAAACAAAGAATGACAGCGCCTCGGTGTGCACCCAGACGCCCATTCAGCCCCGGCAGGAGACAGGCAGTGGCTATTTCCCAGTCTGGAGGGACGCGGTGAATCACCAAGCGGGATGGGCCCGCGGGCGGAGTCGGAGCGCCATCTACTGGTGGTTTTCAGTATTTCCAACTAAACTCTGGCCCTAAACTTGTCAGATCCTGTCTCCTTTCTGCCCTTTGCAGTTTAGGGGTTCCGGCTGCAGCAGAGGTGAGCCCAGAGAGGGAAGGGCGAGCAGTGGAAGAGGGAGGGCGCACATTTCAGCCTGGGGCTTGAGGAGAAGGTTCAACTGGGGGCTGTTCCTGCACGCTCCTGGGCCCTTTAGACATGTAGCCCCAATCAATTTGGAGCTTTGGGAAAAGGTGTGAGGAGAAAGGACCAACTAAGAGAAGAAGACTTAAGGGAAAGGTGGGAACCCTTTATGATAACCCGGTGATCTGATGTGATGACGTGACCCTGAAACAAATACAGTATTTTGCATTTTACGTTGGGCTTCCCCAGCAGGAATTACTTTCTGCAGAGAGCTTGTCCTGGTGTTATCCACTATTTCAAAACAAATGACCTTATTCTTCTTCATAATAATGAATGACTACACCTGGAAAACAGAGAAACTATTAATAAGGACTAAGTAGGGAAAAGAAACACCCATAATTCAAATATAACTACCATGAACTATCTTGTATAATTCCTCCTAGTCTTTTTTTTCTAGTTATGCTTGTGCATGTATATGATCTTGTGATCTCATCTAGTATGTATCATTGTATGTTTTTCACTCAGCAGTATCAAAAGCATTTCTTCATATTCCTAAGCGTTTTCTTTTTATTCCAAAGAACAGCTTTCCACTTCATAGTCCAACATATAAATGGACCATAACTTACCCAGTCTCCAAGCGTTGGGCATGTGTTCTTTTTTGCAGCTTTTTACTGGTACATAGATCTACGGGCATGTTTGATGATTGCTTTAGAACAAAATGGTACAAGTGGAATTACTGGGTATAAACGATCTCATGACTTTTAATACAAGTTGCCCAATTGCTTTCTAGAAAAGTTTATTAATTTTTATTCCCTTTTACAAGATATAGGACTGTTCCCTTTTTCCATGCCCAATGCTGGGTATGGTAAACAAAACAAAAATGTTGCAAGCTTGGTGCATGAAAAATGGTATCTAATTTCTGTTCTAGTTTGTAGTTCTTTGATGATTAAAGTTCAATATTTTCATAAGTTTATCAGTTATTGTATTCTGTGAACGGGCTGGCTCTATGTCCCTTGGCCACTTTGATGTGGGGTGGGAGGGGCTCTCAACATAAGTGAATATATCAACTTTATGGTGTAGTGGGAGCCAGTTCCTCAAAAGCCGGTGTGCCCCAGGGGGTGATCATCGGAATTCCAGGCCTTTGAAGTTGAAGGATTAGATCCCGGAGATTAAGGGGAAAAAGGTACTTCATTTTACTTTTCAAATCTCGCCAACATGCAGGCTCTCTGTACTCTAACACTTGACTTTTTATCATAACTAGACAAGCGTTTGTACATTTTATTCATTATTATCAGTACAGCTTATTGAGGACTTTCTATGGGCTTGGTCAGGAAGAAGTGTTTCTTGTGTAATAATGTCACTTAATCACCGCAGAAAATGCTCCATCACTGCAAGGTGGGTATTTCCACTTTGCATCTAAACAAACCAAGGCTTGGCGATATGAAGTATCCTACACATTTTTGTAAAGCTGAATGGTAGAGCTGGGTTTTAAATCCTGATGTGCTGGCTCTGAGCTTTAGCCACTACCTGTACTGCGTCTACACTGCGGTGGGTGTGCTCTCAGAGGAAGGGGAGGAGCTCAGCGTGGGCGTAGACACTCCTCCCAGTGCCGGGTTCACGCCGGCCCCTCCCCTCGCCAGGAACCCGGGAGCCGGGCTCTTCACCGCCCAGACAGGAGGGCTGTGGAACCCAGCCCTAACAACCCTTTTCTGTGGTTTGGGGAGAGGTCTTACAGATTCGCTTCTTTGTGCATCACTGTGCTTTTCTCCCTTGCAGATAAAAAATCTCAACCGTGGTTTTGCCAAACTGAAGGCCCTGGTGCCGTTTCTTCCCCAAAGCAGGAAGCCTAGCAAAGTTGATATCCTTAAAGGTGCGACTGAATACATCCAAGTTCTCAGTGATGTTTTGGAAGGAGCCAAAGACTCGGAGGTAAAGGTTTAAGAAGTTGGAACAATGATGCCCACCGTTGATCGAGCCCTTTCTCTGTGCCAGGCATTCTGCACGTATATTGATGTGTGTGTTCTAGTTAGCTTATAACAGTCCTCTGAGCTATTTATGAGCCCCATTTTACAGAGGAGGAAACCACAATACAGGTAAAGGCCACGCAGCTAAGAAATGTCAGGACTGGGGTTTGAATCCAGGTCTGTGTGAGCTTTGGAGCCAAGTTCCTGACCAGGTGTATCCTCACCACCTGTCTCTGTCCAGGCCTCCAGCTCCTGACTGCTTAGCCTTTAACAGGACTTCAACAGCGGGGGCACGGGAGGAGGCCCCACTTGGTGGTGGGGTCTCCCTTCAGCAGGACGCACATCAGGCAGGACACAGAGAGGAAGAGGCATGTCCCTTGGGAGAGGCCCTCCCTGAGGGACAACCCTGCCACAGAGCCCAGCGATGGCCTGGTGATGCCAGTCTCCTGGGGTTGTGCCACCGTCCAGTGGGACAACATGAGTGAACCTGCTTTGTAAACTGTGAAGCACCACAGTGTCACCACCATTATTGGGGCATGTAGCTCAGGGATGTCATTAGGCAACGGGAGGTGGAAGCTGGTTTCATGGGCTCACTCCATGGAGAGGTAAAGCTAGGAGGCCTGGAAATGGCTTAGTCATCAGAGGAGGTAAGATATGAAGAGAGGAAAGGCCTTAGAAACGAGCCCTAAGTGATACCGCTGAGAGGAGGAGCCATCCAAGAGGGGCAGGTGGAGAAGCAAGATGGGGCCGAACAACCCAGGGGAGGGAGGGATTTGGGGAGTCCGAGTGTGGAAGGTGGTGGGAGATGCTGCAGAGGGGCCGGGAAGACGACCAGGCCCAGCACGTGAGGTGTGGGATGGGAGCAGGCTGGGGGTCCACTCGCGGTGGGTAGGGGGTGTGTCATTGGTAAACACCTGGAGGCCAGGCCGAGGGAGATGGCGAACTTCAAGTCCATTCAGCCTGGAAGTCTGAGCCTGGAAAGAAGGATCCAAAGGCTGGGAAAGGAACAGTTGTCAGATCAGTGAAGGTCTTTCTAAGTAGCAATGTGACCCTGTTAAGGGACAAAAGAGGTCAGACAGTCAAGAGAAGAGAAACACACTCATTCTAGGAGCTTAGAGCAGAAGTAGCAGGTACATAATGGTACCCCCTCCCCTTGCCTGCTAGTCCTCCTTAGGTGACTTCTGGGAGGATACATTCTGGGATGGTGGGAGTGGATCATCCTATTGGCCAAATTGGATGGCATGTGGACATGTGCCAGTGGCTGCCTCAGTTTTTCCTTGCATGTGAATTGTCTAACAGAAGTGCTCTGATAAAATACAGAAACTGTTCCAGGCTATCATCTTTTAAATGCAGTTGCCAATCACACAAATTTTAAGGTTATAGAAGCACAAAATACGGTCTATTGAGCAATGATTTTTCTTTCCATAAGAACTTAAGCATGGCCCTCATCCACTTAAGTAAAATTTCATAGGTTAAAACTTTGAAATATATTGATGTAAGACTTCAAAACCTGACAGTCATATTATACTGTTTGACAACTAAATATGGTTTCTAGAGACAAGACCCAGATCATCAGAACTATAGCACCAGAACTTCCGAACCACATATATCCTTGGCCAGAGAGCCATCGAGAAACACCACCCGACATGCTGGCTGTGCTGTGGGCTTGAAGAATGAGGAGGAAGGGTCCTGGGCAGATGGTGGCAGTGGTGAGTCGTCACACCCTTGTTGCCAGAGGGCGGTGTCTGCGACAGCAGTTACCTGCCCAACCAGGAGTCTGGTAAAGTGTTTCTTCTGAAATAGCCATGTAGCTGTCCAAAAACTCACAACGCATCCCTTGAGGCATGTGGCATTTTCTATGTTAAAACGTGATTGAAACCAGATCCTTGTGTGAAAGCAACAAGGCGGGGAGGTGCAGTTTGCTGGTTGGAAAGATCTGTGATTATATTTGCAAGTTGCTTGGAAAGCAGCTCAAGGGAAAGGCAGCTCCTCCGGAATCACCCAATACAGACCTATGCTTAATTTTTTATGACCCTAACTAATACATCAGACAGTTTTCTGGATTCTGAGGTCTTCAGAAAAAGAAATAAGTAGCTTGCCTTGCATGAAGCTGCATGAGGATCCCACACACACACACACTCCTTTGCATGCACGCTTGCTCACACATGCATGTTTGTTTTTGAGTTGCCCTTGTTGGAAGCAGGGTTTGTAAGTAACAACAAAGGAGTTTTTGTAACAGCTATTTCTTTGCCAAACTATGAGCTGCTGATAGAAGCAGCTTGCTTCTCCACGTCTGAAGAGTGGACTTTTGGCTCTTGCTGTGTTTCACTGTTGCCCAAACAAGACCCCTTGCTCCCTCCTACAACACGACTGCTTGGAGGAATCTGGAACCAAGTGTGCTATAACAAGCAAGTTGCTGAGTGTGAAATAAGGACTGTGGAGTCACAGATGATGGTTAGTGGTGGGAGGTGGTTTAGAATAGCCGAGTACAGGCTCTGGGAACAGAATGCTGAGGTTCAAACCCTGATTTTGCCACCTGTCAGCTGTATGACCCTGAGACGTAAGAGAGCTACTAAAGTTCTCCAACCGTCAGTCTCCCCATCTGTAGAATGGGACTGAGAATTGGACCCACGTAAGATAACTGTGATTTCAGGATAATTGAGAAGACCAAGGTGATCTTACCATCTTAATAAAGCCACAGATGGAAATATACTAATATGCTTGCAAAATTTTTCCTCCCCAACTGAATTAAGAAATTAGGGTGCATAACATTGTGTGTTATTTTTTATTCTCTCATTGGCATGTTTAGAGGTTACTATATATTCTTTTTTATTTAGTTTTATAAATTTTTATTTATCTTGGGGGAAGGTAATTAGGTTTCCTTATTTAG